AACTAGTGATAGGGAATGAAGTAGTCGAACGTGTAGACCGCTTCACTTATCTTGGGAGTCTCATCAGTGCCGATGGCCTGGTGACTGACGAAATCTCAGCACGGATACAGAAGGCTCGATTGGCTTTTGCCAACCTGCGTCACTTATGGCGTAGGCGAGATATCCGTTTGCTGACTAAAGGACGAGTGTACTGCGCAGTAGTTCGCTCCGTCTTACTTTATGGCTGTGAAACATGGCCAATGAGAGTAGAAGATATTCGTAGGTTACTGGTTTTCGATCATAGGTGTCTTCGAAGCATTGCTCGTATATCGTGGGACACCCGAGTGAGCAACGCTGTTATTAGGAAACGGGTGCTAGGTAAGAATGGCAGATCAATAGATGAAGTATTGAAACTTCACCAGTTGAGGTGGTTGGGACATGTGTTGCGTATGCCCAACCACCGACTGCCTCGTCGAGCCTTGTTTTGTAGTGTGGGACTAGGTTGGAAGAAAGTTAGGGGCGGTCAAACCAAAACATGGCAGAAATCTGTGAAGTCATTGACTAGTGGACTGAGCCATGTCGGTAATTGTCGACTACCTGGTTGGGGTCCGCGAGATGATAATAATCGATGGTTAGAGACCTTGAATGACATGGCTCAGAATCGCTCGCAATGGCGCCGGTGCATTTATTCTCTGTGTTCTCTCAAATGCTAATCTTCTGGATTCTTCAACCCCTCTAGTTTCGACTCTCTAAACTTTTCTCACTGAATCATACTTCTTGAATAGTATCTTCTAATCCTAACCTCCGATTATTTCTAATTCCCTTACTACCTCTTCTACTATTGGATTTGAATTGACGATTGCTCTCTGTGCTGATGTGGTATGGCAACATGAACTGATGTACTTATGTACAAAGTTCTACGTTGCATCTGACTGACTGACTTCCATTTAGGGTTCCTTACAGTGTTCAAACCTTGTGGCAAATGGAACAACAGGCTTCTTTAGTTAGGACTCTGGAATCTCGTGCCATCGATGTATGACACGTCTCCGAAACGCGCATACAGGATACGAGTAGAGTGATTTATTTGACCCCATCATGTAAGAATAAAGAACCCTCTGGTTTCACGCTTCTTATATCTGGAAGCCCCAAAGCTGCTTGCCGTGGATTAGCTCGTGTGCGTATAGCATTGTTTCATCTTAATAATTATTACCACAATTTAAGGTTGTAAGCAGCTGAGGGGAATCAACGAAATGACTGAATTCAGGTCATTGTGCTACAAAATTTGTTCTTTATTCAAGTTTATACATGCGAAAAATTGCGGGCCCTCAGAGATTGACCCCTGAGATTTTTAAGGATGGTGGTCCATTAAAATTAACTGATTTCTGAAGTACAATATATAGAAACTGGACGTAATCCCATCTGATTGGGCTCAATCATTGATTATCCCAGCCTATAAAGAAGGAAAAATGTCCTCTTGTGACAATCAAAAAGGGGTCACTTTATATAATAGTGTCTACGATAATAGCTTCAATAATACTTCGAAGCCTAACTAGAACTCGTGCAGAGCAGACTAGAGAAAGCAAGAGTGGTTTCAGACCTAGCGAGGCTGTATAGACCACATCTTCACACTACGACAGGTCCTGGAACACAGACACACAATAGTTGTCTTCCCGAACCTTAAGACGGTATTCGACCCTGTTGATCGTGAGGTAGTGGCAGTGTCTGTCATTGAAAGGTGTACCAAACAAGTACGTTAACCTTATACAAGCTCTCTACTAGAACACCACTGCTCGAGTGAGAGCTTATGGCGAACTATCATCGGGATTCATTTACTCGAGTGATATTTGTCAAGGTTGTCCACTTTCCCCATTTGCATTCAATTTCTCACAGACAGTCAGTCAGTCAGATGCAACGTAGAACTTCGTACGTAAGTACATCAGTTCATGTTGCCATATCATATTAGCACACAGATGCAACTGTCAATTCAAATCCCATAGTGGTAGAGATAGTAGGAGTACTACTGGTAATAGAGAGGATTAGGGTTCCAAGGTATTATTACTTACTTACTTACTTACGCCTATTACTCCCAATGGAGCATAGGCCGCCCACCAGTTTTCTCCAACTAACTGTCCTCGGCTTCCCTTTCCAGTTCTGTCCAATTTTTGTTCGTTCTTCTCATATCTTTCTCTGATTCTCGGCGTAATGTGTTCCTTGGACTTCCTCTTTTACTTTTGCCTTCAGGGTTCCATTTGAGGGCTTGCCTCGTGATGTAGTTAGGTGCTTTCCGAAATGTGTGTCCTATCCACTTCCACCGCTTCTTCCTGATTTCCTCCTCCACTCGAATCTAGTTTGTTCTTTCCCACAGTACGTTGTTGCTGATAGTGTCTGGCCAACGAATCCGAAGTATTTTGCGAAGACAACTGTTAATAAACACTTGTATCTTCTGGATGATGGTTTTCGTAGTTCTCCATGTTTCCGCTCCATACAGTAGAACTGTCTTGACATTTGTATTGAAAATCCTGATTTTGGTTTTGATTGAAAGTTGTTTGGAGTTCCAGATATTTTTCAACTGTAGAAATGCAGCCCTCGCTTTGCCAATCCGCGCCCTCACATCTGCATCCGATCCACCTTTCTCGTCGATGATGCTGCCAAGATATGTAAAGGTGTTAACGTCCTCCAAGGCATCTCCATCAAGAGTGATTTGGTTGGCACATGTTGTGTTGCATCGGAGAATTTTGATTTTTCCTTTGTGTGTGTTGAGAACTTCTTCTGCTACACTGGTCGTCTTCTCTTGCATTTGTTGTTGTGTGTGCAATAGAAAAGCCAGGTCATCTGCGAAGTCCAGATCGTCCAGCTGCGTCCTGAATGTCCATTGTGTACGGTGCCTCCCTCCAGATGTTGACGTTTTCATAATCCAGTCGATCACCAGGAGAAAGAGAAAGGGTGAGAGTAAGCAACCTTGCCTCACACCGGTCTTCACCTCGAAAGAGTCTGTTAGCTGTCCTTCGTGTATGATTTTGCAGTTGAATCCATCATAAGAATTCCGTATGGTGTTAACTATTTTCTCAGACACACCACAGTGTCGAAGAAGCCTCCACAGTGTTTTCCAGTCCACGCTATCGAATGCTTTCTCGTAGTCGATGAAGTTGATGTAGAGTGGTGAGTTCCATTCAATTGATTGTTCCACAATGATCCGTAATGTTGCAATTTGGTCAGTACTCGATCGATCCATACGAAATCCGGCCTGTTGATCTCGAAGTTGGGCGTCTACGAAGTCCTTCATTCTGTTTAACAATACCCTGTTGAAGACTTCACCTGGTATTGAAAGAAGAGTGATGCCTCTGTAGTTCTCACACTTGCTGAGATCGCCTTTTTTGGTAACTTGATCAGGTATTCTTCTTTCCAATCTGATGGTACTTGTTCCTCATCCCAAATCTTCTTGAAGAGAATGTGAAATATTTTCGCAGTTGCTTCTACATCTGCTTTCATTGCCTCTGCTAGAATGTTGTCTGGTCCTGCTGATTTGCCGCTCTTGATTTGTCTGATGGCCATACTGATCTCTTCAATCGTAGGTGCGCCAATATTAATTAGGAGGTCCGTGGATGCTGCTTCGATGTTGGGTGGGTTCAGTGGAGCTGGTCGATTCAGAAGTTCCTTAAAGTGCTCTACCCACCTATTTCGCTGTTCTTCAGTGTTGCTGATTACTTTGCCTTCCTTGCTTTTCACTGGTCGTTTTGGTTTACGATAGTTTCCGGCCAGCTTCTTTGTTGTTTCATACAATCGTCTTAAGTTTCCGTCTCTTGCAGCCTTTTCCGCCGTCATTGCTAGATCTTCCACATATTTTCGTTTGTAAGCTCTGATGCTCTTCTTCACTTCCCTGTTTGCTTCCGTGTATGCAGCTTGTGCGGTAACTTTTTCCGCTCTTGTTCGGCTGACATTGATTGCTGCCTTCTTGTTCCTCCTTTCCTCAATTTTTGCAAGAGTACCAACAGACATCCAATCCTTGTGATGGTACTTCTTGTGACCCAGAACTTCGTGACATGTGGAAGTGATTGCCTCCTTGATCCTTTTCCAATTGTTCTCCAAGGTTGCTTCCTCTCCATTGAGTATATCGTGCAAGGCATGGAACCTATTGCTGAGGGTTATCTTGGATGCGTTGAGTTTTACGGTATCCCGACGAAAGGCTGTATTAAACTTGTGTGATGTTGTCTGCCCCGTTATCCAGTGTTTCTTGAGTTTTAGTTTTATTTTAGCGACCAGCAAGTGGTGATCTGAGGTTATATCAGGTCCTCTCTTGGTTCTCACTTCCTCCATGGTCCTTCTGAACTTTTTCTTGATACAGATATGGTCGATTTGGTTTTGAGTGGTGTGGTCCGGTGAAATCCATGTGGCTTTCTGTATGCATTTGTGTGGGAATATTGTGCCACCGATGACCAGTTTGTTGAAGGCACATAGGTTTGCAAATCTCTCACCGTTTTCATTCCTTTCTCCCAGTCCATGTCGTCCCATGATGATGTCTTCATATCCAGTGTTGTCCATGCCAACCTTGGCATTTAAGTCTCCCATCAGAATGGTGAAATCCTTTGGCGAGCATCTGTTGACGATTGACTGCAGCCTTTTGTAGAATTGATCTTTAACGTCGTCAGTGTAGTCATTGGTAGGTGCATAACATTGGATGACGTTCATTTTAATGTCCTCTTTCTTTCTTTTGAAGGATGCTTTAATGATCCTCGGTCCATGAGATTCCCATCCTATTAGTGCCTTTTGTGCTTGTTTGGACAGCATCAGTGCAACTCCTTTGTGTGAAGCATTTTCCTCTTCATGACCAGAGTATAGCGGCAGTTACCCTGAAGCTAGTCTCAGTTGTCCTACCTGCGTCCGGTGTGTTTCACTGATGCCGAGTACCTCGAGGTTGTATCTTTTCATTTCTGCCGCGACTTGAAATAGTCTTCCAGTCTCCCACAATGTACAAACGCTCCATGTACCTAAAAGAATGGTTGCTCTGGTTGTCAGAAGAGGCATCGGCCCCGTGACTTCCGAGGGAACTCGGCTTTCATCACGCGACGTCATAGTTCTTCTTCCAACTCCCAGGGCAGAGTTAAAATAGTTTGAATTATTTCTTCTGGTTAGCGTTTTTTTGGCAAGTTAGTTTTTGATGGAATGAGGTCGCCAACCCCATACCCAACCCTCCTCCTTTATTCAGGCTTGGGACCGGCAGTAGCGCTGAAGGGTCTACAGGAGGAGTTCCAAGATATTATACAAGAAGGATAAATCAGTGAGATAGGTTTAGAAAGACAAAAGTAGAGGTGTTAACGAATCCAGAAGATTGGATTTGAGAGAACACAAAGAATGAATGCACCTGCGCCATTGCAAACGATTCTGAGCCATGTCATTCAAGGTCTCTAACCATCGGTTACTATCGTCTCGCGGACCCCAACCAGGTAGCCTACATCTACCAACATGACTCAGTTCACTTGTCAGTGACTTTGTGGATTTCTGCCATTTTGTCACAGACATCCTCTTACAGATGAATTCTAAGGACTTGAACTCGTATCAAGAGATTCACTCATTGACTTATAATATGACGATGACATAGTTCTAATTGGTGGAGACGCTGACAAAATGCAGTCTTCTGACTTTAGTGCCTCCACATATATTCGGGTTCGATTATATTTAATTTGGTTAAGCCCTTTAGATTAATTTATTTAACCAAGCCATTTGTAGAGCAACAATTTATATGTACCATTCGTTCTTATTATTGTCTGATTTGTATGAGCTTACGTGACTTGTTCCACTTGTCTTTTGACCTTGTCAATCATTCGTCGCTTTTATTTATGTGTGTGCATGCCTATCTCGTTGGTCACATGTCTGTCTTAATTTTATCTGACTATAAGTTCTTATACATGCTTTATCTCTGGGATTTGGCTCAATAGCCTTCTCCACATCGCTTCATCCGTTCATTCGCCTATTTACTCGCTTGCTTGCTTTCCGGAGCTCGCATGACGATTTTATCTTTTAGCACTTGTAATCTGCTGTTCTATTTGTGGTGTGTCAAAAATAAACGTATTCAACACTTTGAGTTCACCTTCTGATTTATAAACCGTCAAACGCTAGTTAGTAACGATTGTCTAGACGAGATAATTACGAAGCTTAAGAACACGTTGAAATCGGCCACCACAAATCTGGTGAGCGCGCCGTCGAAATTGGCCACCACATGACCATCCTAAGCAACAATGGAAGCATGTTCGGGATGCGATCCTCCCTCTTGAAATAATAAGCGGTGTGCAAACCAGCTGATTCCTTACAAACGTTACTGCATATGACCGATTGACTGATATACATATATATGTTACGATCAATAGATTAAGCCAAGAAGTTAATCATCAAAGCAAAAATTTAGTTCAGCCAAGTGTTTGTAAAGTCTTACTTTACAGACTAACTAACTGTAATCTGTTTATTCTTTAGAGAATGACTGTACAACTAAAATACAAATACCTCCACAATTCCAGCAAAACGCAACCTCTTACCAATATTTAAATACTAATTCACTATATGTGCTGCTCGTAACATACACTCAATGTAGAGAAGATTTGTAGCTCAGGTGTATGATTATGGTGGTGGTGTTTGGTTCTCTGAGCTCAGAGAACCAAACACCACCACCATAATACACTCAATGTACTCCATAAACATTAAATACCGAAGAAAACTCACAATATAATCGCCATCAACATCTTTAGGGCCTGCGCTATAATAAATACGATACAGTTTAGCAGCCTTATCAATTTCTTCTTTAGTACCAGTCAGACCAATCAAATGTGGTGAATATTCTAGATTGAAAAATGAGAAAAAAAACTCAAATTATCAAAGTAAAGTCCCACCAGTTGCAACCAAAACATTTAATCAATTACACTATTGTCTAACTGACTATAACTAATTACGCACTGTACTCGTAAAATAAGATAAGTTGACACTGTATATGAAATTGTAGGGATAAAATAGAAGTCAGTGTCGCATCTTTTGAAAGTTTTAGATAAAGCACTTTAAGCATAAGGAAAAACATCTTTTGACCTGGAGACCCCCAAAACCGACCCAACGATTGACCCAACTAGATCACATCGCTATAAGCCATTGGTGGAGAGGCTCTATTGAAGCACTGGAGCACTTATTTAGACTCAGACCATGCTCTAGTGCAACCGCGTGTTCGTTCGCGTCACACTGGACGTAAGAAAAATATCTCAATCAAACCTCTTAGGACTCTACCTAATAATAACAGAGCTAAGAATATATTTCAGGAACTGGAAAAACAGTTAGGCAGCCACGTAGTAAGTGACGCCTACCCTGAGGCAGCTTGGAATGATATCAAAAGGGCTGTGGAAACAGCAGTGATATCTGCTAGTAAAGTAAACAATAAGTCTAGGAAGAATCCGTGGATCTCAGTAGCATCTACCAAACTGATGGATGCTCGAAAACTCATCCCATCTGGCTCTGAGTGCGATGAGGAGCGGAGTCAGCTTAAGCGCAGGCTCATAAAAAGCCACTCACAGAAGAAAACGCAACCAATTGTGCGGTCAACCTTTCGAAACAACACCTAACGACAACAGAAGAACAACTGCTCCGAAAATGATTAAACTATAACTCAAATTCTTCGCTGCATTAGAATCACCACTCAAAACGGCAGGAATAAGTGAAGAAGCTCAACAAGAAATAAGGCAAACCATTGTACCACTAACTCGACGGAAGAGAGACAACAGCCAACTAACAGCAAAACAACGAAAAGCTCTAAAGAAACTCAAAGCCAGGGAAGATATAGTCATAGTTCCAGCGGACAAAGGACGCACGACAGTAATTACGGACAAGGAAGAATATATCAAAAAAGCAGAGGAACTACTTCAGGACAGAAGCGTATATAGACCAATCGACACAAACCCAATAAAAAAGTTGGACAACCAAATCTCAAGGACTCTAAACAGGTTTATCAAAGCAGGACAAATATCAAAACAAGATCAATGGAGAATGAAATCCAATGGACCAGTAATTCCACGATTCTGCGGTAGGCCGAAACCTCACAAACCCAACATTCCACTACGCCCTATTGTATCCCTCTCCGGAACCCCGACCTACAACTTATCAAGAGAAATTTCAAGGATATTAAAACACCTGGTGGATGGATCCAACTACTCCATTAAATCTGCCACACAATTCTTGGACAAACTCAAGGGGATTCAGAGCGACAACGACGAAATGATGACATCCTTCGACGTAACAGCCTTATTCACCACAATAGAGCCAAGCCTAGCTAAAGAAACTCTTTCCCTGCTCCTCATCAACGACACAAATCTGCACAAATATACAAAGCTTCAGAGTCAAAGTCTGCTTGAACTCATGGATCTATGCTTAACAACGTATTTTCAATCCAACAACAGAGTATACGAACAAACAAAAGGAACACCAATCGGATCACCAATATCAGGACTCATCGCGGAAGCGGTAATGCAGAGACTAGAAGCGTCGATTTTACCAGTGATCAAGCCAAAAATGTGGGTTCGCTATGTAGACGACACATTCGTCATTATCAAAAGGAACGAGCTGAAGAACATCTACAATCAGATCAATAACGTCCTCGATGACATTAAATTCAAGATGGAAAAGGGATCAAACAACAGTCTATCATTCCTGGATGTACTAATCACCAGAAATAACGCAGGAAAACTGGAAACTCAAGTATTTCGGAAGCCAACCCACACAGATGTAATTCTCAACTACGATAGCAACAACCCAAGAACTCACAAAATCAACTGCATACAAACTTTGTTCAAGAGAGCGAAGACACACTGCAGCACATACGAAGCACTAAAAAACGAGGAAAAACGTCTTGTAACTATCTTCCAAAAGAACGGCTATCCACTCAACTTCATCAAAAAACATCAACCGAAATAATCAACAGAAGTGAAATCAAGTACAGGAAACAATAAACGGACCATCCTACCATACATAAAAGACATATCGGCGCATACAGCACGACTACAGAAACAATTTGGAATAGGTGTGGCACACAAACCAACAGAATCACTTCAATCAATCCTATGTAGACCAAAGGACAAAATGACAAATGAAGAAAAACAAAATATCATCTACAAAATAGATTGCTCAAACTGTGAAAAACACTACATAGGACATAGTGGACGGCCTCTTTAGATTCGTTTACGTGAAAACCAGTTAGCAGTCAAACGCCACGACAACGCTTCGCTTATATCAATACACGCCGACAATTATGGACACACATTCGATTGGAACAATGTGGAAATACTGGGTGGGGGAGAACAAAGAACACTAGGGAATTTTTAGAAGCTTGGCACTCAGGTCAATTAGCATTCAACAAACACATCGACATTAACCCAATTTATCAACCAATCAGGAAAATCATAGGTGACATAGGATCAAGAAACAGATCAAAATGGAGATACAATCAAAACAAAGGTGCAAACAACGACAGGTTTAAGGTCAACAGCAACCAATCAAGAACAAGCTACAGGTTAAACGTGGAGAAATTCGAATGCTTCACTTCTATCTGAAGTTTGTGCTGATGATGTTGTTCAGAAGAACAATGAAAGCTCCACAACCAAAATATCCGGGCTCAGTGAAATTCGAATGACACTGTACTAATTTGTTAATTCAAATGAGATGTTCGGTATGAGATAGAAGTAATCTGTATTAGGACTCATATTCCAGTATGATTATAGTTCATACTCAGAGAGGTTTACATGTAGCCTTTCACTTCCTAAGTGACTATGAATCGTACACTACTGTAACACAAAGCTTTGCTACTGAACTGCTTAGGTGTTACAGGAAAAATAAAGATCTTGCAGAATGACACAGACATCCGTTAAAATTAGTAATATTTGATTAATGCTACTAAATAATAAACTCTAACTATCAAACAGCACATTAAAATATTATAAACATAAATGAAAACGCTTTTACTACCTTTAACGTATTTGGCTAAAATGTCTGGAGTATCACGTTCGCTGTCGACAGTCATGAATACAGGCACTAAGGGATACTTGGGTTTTTCAACAAGCACTGTAAAAAGAAAGCATTTTTGTGATGTGTAGAACAATGGCAATATTAGAATATTAGTTCAGTTGATAGATTATAAAACTAATCAACAGGAAATTAAGTTTCACAACGAATATATAACTACCATTTTAATTCAAGTTTCTATAGAGACGCGTCTTAGTTGAAACTAAGAGAAGATGCCAATTCAAATCCTTCTTTTTTTGTATTTCTTCAACTGATTTCCAAAACCTTAAGTTTAAAGCAAGTAAATGGTTTGATTTGATATCGTTTATTAACACAGGATAAGATACAGAACAGCAACAACAACAGAAATACTTTGTGATGACTATATCTTACAGGTGGTAACTGACTGATTTGCATCACAATACAGTCCATATAAATGAACATAATTTAGTTGAAAATAAATGATCAGGAAATCCGTTTAATGTTATTAGTGATATAGAAAAACTACGAATTTATCTCATTATGTTGATTCGACACAAAATGTATATACAATGAATCAAAAGTAGCTTATTGCAGAACAAGTAATCCCATGTGGATAGAACATACATTGAGGAAAGTACTCAACTGCATCACAAGACAAGCCCTCACCTGGAATTCTCAAGGGCAAAGGAAAGGAGGAAAAATCAAAGAACATATTATACCGAGAAGTGGAAGCAGATATGAAAAGAATGAACAGTAATTGGGAGAAGTTGGAAAAGAACGCTCAGGATAGAGTAGGTTAGACAATCCTGGTCGGTAGCCTATGTTCCGTTAGGGGAACAGGCGTAAGTAAGTAATCGCATGGGCAACGGATTTGAGCATGAATTTATTGACCCTGAATTATACGTTTCATTAGGGACATCACTAAATTACTTATTCGCTGATATACTACGTAAAGATTTTGGCACAACATAAGATCGAAAGAATGGGTCATACAAGATAGAATATTATCAACAAATGGACAGGGGAAAGGTCATATCATCAATCATTAAGTCAAACAAAAAAATGGTATTTGATAACGAATATAACCAAGAAGGATGTTTTTGTTTGGAAGGTTTACTTTTCTTCAAACAAAATGTGATAAAATGCTAATGAATTTTATATACGATGTTTTACAACGCATCTAGCTTTCCCTATGGTCAAATAGATTTAACATACTACATCAACTCAAGTATTCACATAGTTATCAGTGTATAGTAACTTTCCAACTATTTAATAGCTCACCATAGAAGTTAAGTCCAGTCATCTCTGCCAATCTTGGAGTACCTTGTACTTTGGATGTTAAGAGTATGTGTTACACTTACAGACACTGCCAGGTGGTTGTGTATTTTGAACATTATATCATCATACAGTAGGACAATTTAATCAGTATTATCCCTAGATAAGTACCATCAGAGGTGAGCTTGTTCAATTTTCAGGGTGATAGGAAATAATTACTATCACTTTATTACAACGATGCACAAAAAGCACTTTCAACGAATGTTCTTGTGAGTACGCCTAAAATTACGAAACGCTTTTAGATCGAATAATGAAAATCTTAAAGAAAATATAGGAAAGACCTATCGATTTAATATGTGACCATGTCAACTGTTAAAACTATAAAACTACACTAGTATATCAAAATTAAATACTATACAAAAAGCGGTTGCATAAGGTAAAAATACTTAATATCCTTTCCTTAGCAAACTTACTTATCCTATCAAACACTTCCACAAGTCTTTCTATTTGTTCTGGACATATATCTGGACATCGACAAAACCCAAAATACAACAGAACCCACTTTCCGCGAAAATTGGCTAGTGTACATGGGTTCCCATTATGATCAATCAAATTGAAATCTCCACCGATGGATGGCATACCGTAAGAATCCTTTGATAACTCTTTGACTAAAATGTTAGGAACAACACATTAAATGCCAAAACGGTTAGTTGTGAGTTTTAATTACCAGCAACAGTTAAAAGATTCGAGAAAGTCAACTTGCAGGTTGGAAAAAAAAGAGACAGAATCCACAAACAAGAGAATTTATAAATTAACTTGGAATTCAAGTAAACAGCAATCGAATTATGGTATCGAGATGTATTCATGTGAAACAAAAATACTTGATTCACAATACAAAAACTGAGTTGGTTTTAGTAATAGAAAGTAAACCGATATTTGAGCAGTTATTACGTAGTAACAAATAAATTATACACTGATAGTTTAGCAGAAAAATCAGTCAATTTCCGACCACTTAGTTGGTCAGAATTTTGTTTTTTAAGCAATGCAGTCTGCATGCCTCAAAACCAATAGAATACAGTAGTATATTACAGTATATTAAATATAAAAGTACCCACCTATCAAATATTGTTCGTCATATATTACAACCGTCAATGTGGGAGATTATTGAACTCCTGGGATATTCACACTAACTCAACAGTGGTAGGGCTTTACTCTGGAAGTTTTGAAAATGAATGGTGTAGAAGCAATGGTAAAGCTTCTGCGTCGCGATTACTGAGAACCAGTATAAATAGCTAATTACAATAACAATGAAGCACTTGTTTCAGAAAGTCTACATAAGAGGCTATTAGATTTGACGAAGAGTAGGGCGTATATAAACGGTTGGTGCGTAAATTATAGTCGCTTTAAGCATCGAGTTTCGATCAAAAAAATCATGCACGAATTTTCATACTCATCAGTACAAAAAATCCGAAATTCGGAAGTTCGAATTGGACTACCCCCTACTGAATTTTGAAACGAATGACTCCTAAACAATTTTTGAGATTTTCCACCTGATAATTTAATGGTAGACAAACGTCATTTGTAAGGTACGGTGCCATGTATTAAAAGTCATTCACTCGCAATGATTATTAACATGAAAATATGAAAAAAAGATTAACATACTAATGGCACATAAGTTCACACCGTATTCAATAATATTATGTAACTACAGACTAAATAGACTAATGAGAAGACAAGAATACTAATTAATTAATACACCGGCGCGCAAAGCCACAGTTACTTACCCTTCATGAGATCTCTCGTCATATAAACTGAACCTGCAGTGACCAACCCAGTGAAACCAATAAAAACACCCCACTGTAAATACCGCATCTTCTGGAAAGCATACACTGATAGAATGTAAAATGCCTACATCTTCTGAGTTCAAGGTTGACCTAGACCTGACAGGAATAAAATTTCGATATAAAACTCCTCTGAGTATTTTGATTAATCCTACTAAGAAATTTACCTTGATACTCCAAAAAGCTTCAAGAAAAATGAGGAGTTACGCATTCCTCGTGAATTAGTATCGTGCGCTAAATGATTACCTTCAGCGGTACGATATTCCAATATCCAATACCTTTTTCTCGAGCTAGTATAATCCAATAGAATTCTCTGCACTCAATTCTTGTTCTTTCGCTACAGTTTCAGGTGTTGGTTAGTGTCCAATAAATGGGGTTCTAGCCAAGTCACCTAATACTAGGGTTTAAGAGAATTCAAAACGTATTTGAAGATTTATAAACCTTGAGATTATTTCATCGAATTTGTTGTAGATCGAATAAGTTTTTTGGAACCGGCTGTTGTCATTTTATCAGGTAGCCGTTTGGCTGATAACATCGTCTACAATTTTTAAAGTAGGTTCAATGGTGTGATTAGTTTTTTTATTGGGTTTGGATTCAGACTTTCTTATTAAGCACAGAAGGCCTGCTATCCCTATTGGTCCTTTTCTATCGAGCTTCTGAGTTTCTAGCCTCATGTTGAACCAGTCTATTGAAGCTTCAACATTACGTTTTCTGCTAGAAAGTTCCAAGAGTTGTTGATTCGGTTTGTGAACCTTTATTGAACATAACTGTATTCAAACTGGCAAATGACTGTCTTAAGACTCATAGAGTTGTGAACCTTTTGGCTGAAACCATACGGCTATGGTCTTTGATCCTAAATTTTTGACTTAATATCGCCAGAATATGAGCACTGACTTTTCCCCAGTGCAGTACGTATATGAATATGAAGACATATTAATGGAGTTGCTCCATTAACGACGCTGATTTTGTTTAACAGTATTATGATCCAGTATCCTGGTGACAATATTTTCATATTGTGGCTCTGTTCGTTATTATTGTGTCTGGGGTTCACAGCACATCTTTTGTACTGCTGAACTAATCTTAAAATTGTTGAATGAAAGGCTTTGTGCCACATGTTCTTCATTGGTTCGGGATCGTGCATTTTGGGATAACTAATTACACAATATCTCAATCCCAATCTGAATATGAATAGTTTATTTGCCAGAGCACACTTGGCCGTGTCAACAGGCCCCCGCTCATGTTTTAAACCGGCCAACCAGAGTGTCTAGGCCAGCCTGAAGTGTACTTGCGTCTTCATATCCACTTATTTTGCGCAAAATTTTTTCACCCCTGGCATGGATTGTCATCACCTACTTATACTCCATTTACAAATGGTATATAAAGTAAACAATTTAGGATAGAATTATGCAACACCCCACAAATTGCTGGTCTCCATATTGAACTTACCAAGAAATCTCCGACTCATTTAAGAAGAGGTCTGTCGATCCCAAGATTTTTCAGTATTAAGATGAATCTATTATTCTGCACAGATTTTCCACCGTCTAACGACTCTGCCTATCCGTCTCTTGTCATGAGCAGGTTTTCCGTACATGGTAGTATTTCCTAATGCCGTGTTTGTACCAGTGCAACAAGTAATTTGTTTCTACTGTTTCTGTTTCGCCTTGATCTTCCTCTGTTATTTAAAACTTACTTCCTTTCAAAATCAGGTTGAAAACCGAATCTTGTATTTTTGTTCTAGAATTAATGTGCGAGAACAGTCTCTTCGATTGGTTGGTTACAGATATGACAACTGCCTCTCATATTTTTATGAGCTGCCTGGATTGTTCCAGTGTACTTATCTGGAACTCCAAACAAATATCAATCAACACCAAAATCAGGATTTTATATACAACTATCAAGACAGTTCTACTGTATGGAGCGGAAACTTGGAGAAATACGGAAGTCGTCATCCAGGAGATACAAGTATTTATGGACAGTTGTCTTCGCAAAATACTTCGGATGCGTTGTCCAGACACCATCAGCGACAACCTACTGTGGGGAGAACAAACCAGATTCTAGCTGAGGGGATTTCAAGAAGTTTTGGAAGTGGACAGGACCCAACCCACGAAAAACACCCAACTGCGTCACCAGACAAGCCCTTTCTTGGAACTCCCAAGGCCAGGGGAAGAGGAGAAGGAAGGCCAACGAACACATTACTCCGAAAAATAGAGAAAGACATAGGAAAAATTCACAAAAACTGGACAGAACTGGAAAGGGAAGCTCAGGACAGAGTTAGTTGGAGAAAACTGGTGGGCGGCCTATGCTCCGTTGGGGCTAACGGGAGTAATTAAGTTAGTAAGTAAGCAAAGAAGGTGAGCACTAGATGAAAAGCTAATTGTAAAAAAGTAGTCTTAGTCCTTGGTAAGTGGAAATTCGTATTTCTGACATTTCATGTCATAATGCAAGTCACTTCTTCACAGTAAATAAACAGCCGAGACAAACTGACACAAGTCTAAATAGTAAACAGGAAACAAAGCCGAACATTTTTAGTACAATCAAAATCATGACAAGTCTAAATCTGTCAATGTCGTGCTATTACTGAAAGGTTTCTAGCCTTTTTCCGTGATAGTATGTTATCTGGTATCGGTCTTATTAAAGATAGCATTCATGCCGCTAGCCCTGCTGTGAGTACAAACTCTCCGGGTGTTGTACAGAATCCTTATTGTACGGGACGTGTAGCGCCTAGAGGGCAGGAAAGATGATTTTTCAAAATCATTTGTTTAGAATTTGCCGACCAATAAGCTGCAACCTTTCTAAAAGTTGTGCAAACTAGAGATGTTGTACGGTAAGAAAATAATTCATCCGTTAAAATCCTTTTCGATATTATTTGTACGTGATTGCCATTATCTTGAGAACAACCTGCTGACTAAGACAAAATAATGAATTCGAGGGTTTAGGCCGCATGTTTAACCACTTTTGCGGAACAACAGTAACTTTAAGGAGGCCATAAACAGGGCTTTGAAAATGAATAGTTTAAATAGGAAATTCCCTGTGCCGCGTGATTTATTTCAAGTTTCAGCGAAGTAGATGGTGATTGTACACGAGGTGTCACGAACTGGTCAAGGTGGATAGGTATAATACTCTGGATATGCTAAACTTACGAAGACATATGAGTCTGAGTGCTTGTCAACAGTAGGTGAGCCTGTCGGAAGATAACTTTTTGTACGAGACTATGATGGAACATAAACCGTTCACTTGGACGTCATGAGGTGTGACCGCAGGTTCCAGTTAGATATGTGGCTCCCATGAAGGCATTTCGTAGCCTACAGTATGCACATTACTTGTGTAGTTTAAAAATGAATTGAAAATTCTGTGCGTTTGAATAAAATTGGGTAGAAAGTGAGTGGAATGTGGTTGTTTAGATAAAGAGTTAAGGTTGGATAAATGGTCGGGCGTTCCTTCCTATTAAAGGCAGAGAGATTAAGCATTATATAAAATGCTTGATCTACTCCCCGCTTTTGATAGTTGAAAAAACCTCTGAATTAAGTTCTCATACGCAACCACCCTGACTGAAGATACCATGACATTGACAGGTTTAGACTACTGGCTCCTAGCCCCCTAAATCAACAATTTAGGAGTACGTCTATATGGCATTTTTTGTATCGAGGCTTTACAGTAAGCTTCAATCTCTTCCAAGGATTATATGAATCTGGATCAATTAACATACAGATACATGGTATGGATGAGATATAAGTGCATTCTTTTAAAGTGCGAAAACTCATCACATTCAGGCAAGCTCATAATATTTTAAGCTTTCACTGAGACTGCATTCAAAAATTCAAGAAGAAATGTACCCATGCGAAAAGAATATATACTATTAAAAACAATGGCACTTATAAATGTATGACAATATATGCAGATTAAAACAAGTGCGACCGTCACACGTTCAGTTTAGCAGATCCTCTCATTTCCTTCAACAAAACAATGAAATGATGAAGAATCTAAAACTGAAATGGTCAAAAAGCATTTAATGACAGATTTAAGGTGTACGAATATACCATCATGTCCAAGAGAAGCTATTTAGAAAGATTTTCGGTGTCTAAAAACATTCAATAAGGGATTCGGAGTTAAAAACGAAATGGTTAAGTTAAGACTCATTTCTACGAAACATTTTGTGAGCAGTAAAGCAGAGGAAGCTAGTCATTCTAAGTGAACAATGTCTAAAACGATAGTGTGGGATAATGGGTTAATTAAACCCGTATTCTAAAGTCAGAAAGTTTCTGATTGTCACTCAGTTGATTTTCTTATTAGATTTCAATTATTTTCATACACTAAGATAGGGAACCGTATAAACTTGGAATGCGGAGGTTCTATGTTCACTGTCTCTCCAAGAACAACTTACATATATTTCTGGTCAAAATTGTAGATGGATTTTCTACCCTAGCCGTTCACTTTGTTTACAGTAGGTGCAGGTTGGCACTCGACGTCCCGGATCCAATAGCAAAACACAATAATTCTGGGAGAAATCGGTCTATTTTCATCATAAAATGGAAATAAAAACATTTACCCAACAAATGTTACACCTTCAAAGTCCAAATTACCCTGGTAGGTATCCGCTTCTGGAAGAATAAGTGCTTCCAGTCCAAATGGCTACAGAATCAAATCCAAAATGGCTGTAGCCATATTAATTATCAAATTTAAACAACATATATACAGTTCAGAAGCAAACATAAAAACTTCAATATAAGTACAAAATATAGGAATAATAACACTATACAATGATAAAATCTCAAAATGGAATCAAATAAAGTACCAAAATGTCAACAGAAAGAGTCAGTCATATCATAACACAAATGTATATACATGGAGGGATTTTCCAAGAAACAAAACATTCAAAAAAGATTCTACAACAATATCAAAAAGTCTTTCTGAGACTGCTTTAATGAGCTGTCATATTTGGATGGCTGCACTCTACAAGAATGTAACCAAGTGTGTAATTCAGCACATTCGTTTTGTTTGTCGGTCATTTTTGTCTTAACATCAATAGATTGCTTTTCTTTAATACGTTGTTGGTCGGTAAGTCGTCAGCAGATGAATTTAGAACTACGAATCGACAGAAAGCAGCAGTATAAACGTAAGCGTACTAGTTGAAGTCTGTCTTAATCTAGATCCTTATATGAAATAAATTTCTCTCTGATGTTTTTGTCTTCTATATTATGTCAGGTCCCATTCCGTTTTTAAGCAGTTTGCCGAATAGAAAGGCTGAACTGCAGCTACTGGAAGGAAACTCGTTAGCCCATACACTGGATATTCAGTAAAGGAAGCAGTAAAGAATGAAGAAGTTGCATCACTCATCAACAGTCAACCTGG